GCCTGAAGGCTGGTGTGCAACAGTGCTCGAGGCAGCATGGCTCCCTGTGTGCCAGGGGCCCTCCCTCAGGGGGCCTACAAGGCAGGCAGTGAGCCAGCCAGAAGACTGGCGCTCCCCACCTGTGGCTCCCCGTGTGCCGGGGGCCCTCCCTCTGGGGGCCTACGAGGCAGGGAGTGAGGTGCCGGTTGGAAGACCGGCGCTCCCCGCCCGAAGACACTAATATTCAACTAGTTTTGATCTAGGTAAGTACAATTTCACGTTTCAGTCAAGAAGTATGTTATGTTCCTTGCCCAGTTTTCATCTCCTTCACTCTCTTCTGGTTGAGATGAACCCTCTCCTGTGACCACCTGCCAAACCTTTCCATTTATCAGCTAACCACGGCCTTCCTGATGCCAACGCAAGACCAAAGAAGAGGCAGGTCAGGCATAGTGATGATATATTGTGGAATGAATTAGAGAGTGCGCCATGAGCAAACAAATAAACAACAACAACAACAAAGAAGTAAATACTTCTAATATAACCTTTCTTTCTTTCTTTCTTTCTTTCTTTCTTTCTTTCTTTCTTTCTTTCTTTCTTTTTTGTCTTTTTGAGGCAGAGTTTCACTAAGCAGTTCAGGCTGGCCTTGAACTCACTTCATAGCCCAGGCTGGCCCCGAACTTGCAGTGATCCTCCTGCCTCAGCCTCTCATGTAATGGGATTGCAGGGGTGCACCACCACGAGCTTTTGTTCCTCTACCAAGTTAACAAGGGGTTCACATTTACTGTGAAGCACTGTCCTCTTCAATTTCCTCACAAAACAGAAACAAACCGAAAGAGTTTCATCCTTGCTGCTACTAAAACACCAATGAATTACAGTTAACACTTGTTTTAGTCTATTATTATTTTAAAAACTTACCTCCAACTCTGGTGCCGTAATACCTTTATGTTTTGTTTTGTTTTGTTTTCCGGTACCGGAGATCAAACTCACAACCTTATGCTTGCTGGGCAGGCGCTGTGCCGCTGAGCTAAATCCCCAGCCCCCATAATGCCTTTATCATCTCACAGAGTTAGTGGGATGGGCCTCTGGGAGGGGTTCAGCTGGGTGGTTCTGCTTGTGTCTCTCGTGTTGTTCCTCTCAGGAGCGGGCAGGAGCTGCAGTAGTCTGGCTTTGGCTGTGGATAATGGTCTATTTTTCCAGATGCCTCATGAGCATTGCTGTTTGCAGGAGGCCTCGGTTTCTCACTGGCTTTTGCAGGAGGCTAAAGACCGGGCTGTATTATTCTTCTGTTTCCTCACAGTATGGGAGTTAATTTTGTCCAGATCCGTAGTCTAAGTGTGAACAGGTGAATGAGCAGGAAGCCGCAGTGCTCTTTATGACCTCACATTTACAACCATCACTTTGGCTGTACTCCATTCATTAAAAGTAGAGTCCCTTTCATCCCGAAGGGGAGAATAACTAGGTGTCACTTAACTGAAAAAGGAAGTCTTGAGGACTTTTATAGATGTGTCTGAAGATACCACACATATGAGGTGTGATTTAAAAAATGTGGTGTGTGTTTAAATAAGAAAAAGCATTTATTACAGTAAAAGACGTATTACCATTAATCCCTCTCAAAATCCCCCTCTACCCTCAGAACACATTATCCTACCATTCTTGCCACTTTCTGAAGCTGTTGTGGAAGTCTTCTTTTATGAGTGTCTTTATTTGGTCTGTTCTTGCTACCTTGATGTCCTGAAAAGATTTCATTGTTTTTCATGGTCATTTTGACTTGGCGCAAGAGCCAGAAATCTACAGTGCAGATCTTGGGGTGGTGGGGAGTGAGGACATACTGCAACTGTTTTTATAAGACTGCTTTACGCTGGATGGTACTCAGCAGCAGCATTCACTGCTCATAACTCGTAAAGACCCTCACAGAAAAGACTTTGACAACTGCTTCCAAAAGTAGCAAGAATTATGGAGCATGTGTATTGGAAGGGGGAGTAGTATTTTGGGGATGATTAGTGGCAATATATTTTTTACTATAATAAATGTTTTTTTATACAGTTAAGCAGTCACTGAATATTTTGATCACCCCATGTAGGCTGTATTAGGAAACATTCAGATGCAATGGTTCTCAGCAATTAAATTTCCAGCACAGGATTATTGTAAAGCATAGCCTTGTACACATACGATAGAACATGCTAAGTAAGGGAAATAAATATGAGATCTTTTTGAGAAGTGCTTAAACAAAACCAGATAAGCCAGCAGAAATTTCTCTTGGCTTATTGAAAAGAGCAAATATATTTTGGGGTCTAAATCATTGCAGCAATTTAGATCTTTCTCATTCATGGTTGACTCATTCACTGACGCCATGCTACAGTTCTACTTGGCTTTTGATTTTAAATCTAGAACTGATGATTTGTACTGAATTTATTCGTTTCACAACTAGCATGAGTAATTAGTGTACCAACTATCCAAAGCTCTGCTTTACCTTTCTTGTAGCTCTCCAAGGAGAGCAGCGAGAGCTGAAGAATGACATCTTCATTTTAAAAAGACTCTGCTTATGTGAAGACCTGAAGGTATTTAAAAGAGTGTTTGCAATATACTCCTCTAATATTAAGCATTGTTTTTCCTCCAGTTTAGTAACGACCACATTTTCCTTTCCCGTTCTTTCACTGTACATGTTAAATTACAGAATGCTATATCTGCACAGGAGGGAGGGAGGCTAGCGTAGGCGTGACGACCCCGAGTAACGGTGGCTGACCCAGTGCGGTGTAGCGGGCCTCTGAGGACGACATCCCCACAACTGGAGCAAGCGGCTCAGTCCTCTTCTTTCATTGTGGGGATTTTACTTCCCTTCATTTGTTTTTCACCATCATCAATTAAGATTAGTCTTTTGTAGCAAAATTTAATTAACGTTCAACTTTTTTTCTCTCAAAGTTTATCTGAAAGAGCTTTATAGTTCTTTTTATTTTAAAGATAAAAAAACTAATAAAATAACAATGAAGGGGGCCGGGGATATAGCTCAATGGCACAAGCGCCTGCCTGGCAAGCACAATATCCCTAGTTCGATTCCTGGTACCAGGAAAAAAAATGAAGACAAAATCAAAGCAATAAAAATGATACATGACCTCAAAACAGAACGATAGGAATTAACAGTGGTTGCTACATTACATACTGTTATCTTCAACGAAGTTGCTCAGTCCCCCAGACATAAGAATGTAAGATTGATCAAACAATCAAAGAGAGTAACAAGTAATAAAAAACACTGGAAATGATGCAAAGCTTCACAAGATAGTAGTTCAGCAATGGTTCTTATAATATACATGTTTTTTCTCTTCCTTCTTTCTTTTTCCTCTCCCCTCCTTCATCTCATTTGCTCCTTCCTATTTCAGCAGTTCCATTTCCCTTTCACAATATCTATTGTGCCTTTCAGATTCTTTTACTCTTTCAAGTTCTTATAGTAGGGAGGAAATATAATGTTTACACATGTGAATCTGATTTATTTCACTTATGAGTGTGATCTCTAGTTGCATCCATTTACCTATAAAAGCCTCAAGTCTATGTTTCTTTATAGCTGAGTAATATTCCATTGTATAAAAATACCACATCTTTTTTATCCATTCCTCAGTTGATGGACATTTGGGTTGTTTCCAAGATTTGGCTATTACAAATTGCCCTACTATAAACAGGGGGGCACATATATTGCTGTGGTGTGATGTTATCAGTTCTTCTGGAAAAATGCCCAGGAGGGGAATAGCTGGGCTGAATGGGACCTCTAGACCTAGTTTATTGAGGAATCTCCAGACTGATTTCCACAGTGGTTCCCCAGTCTGTACCCCACCAACAGTGGAGAAGGGTTCCTTTTTCTCCACAAACCCTCCAGCATTTGTTATTGGTTGATTTCTTGACGATAGCCATTCTTTCTGGGGTGAGATGGAATCTCAGTGCTGTTTTAATTTGCATCTCTCAAATGACCAATGCTGTGGAACATTTTTTCATATATTTATTTGCCGTTTGTATTTCTTCATGTACAAGTGTGTATTCATCTCAGATGCCCATTTTTGGGTTGGGTCTTTGGATTTCGGGGCCTGATTTTTTTTAATTCTTCATATGTTCTAGATAGGAGTCCTTTGTCTGAGGGGCACTTGGCTAAAATTTTCCCCCAGTTCGTGGGTTTCCTTTTCACCCCGTTGGTGATTTCCACAAGAGCTTCATAGTGAAGTTCAGCAACTTCTGCAGCTGTCGCTTCCCTCAGCCCTCGTGCAGGTGTCCCCGCCTGCTCCCCTTCCTAGGTAACAGGTGGCTTCCCTGCGCATGACTCTGGAGGAAAGCTCAGGCCCCGGCTGCTTTCCCTACTGTCTGCTCATCGACAAGGCAACTGCATGTCTCTTTGTGCTATCCCCCCTGCCTAACCTCATCACCACTTCCCATGACTCCTGTCCAGAAGTCAGAATAAAATGGAAGAACGTGTGCACCCTCAAAACCACCAACTAATTCGAATATACAACTGTCACAAAAAGATAATTTCTTCATATACTAAAAAGTTAAAACATGCATAAAAATAACACAAGCTATCTTAAAATGAAGTATATTTATGAAATTTAGTAAGTTCATATGTGTAATGGATCTCCACTAACTTGATAACATTTGGTTCCAAGTCCTCCAAAAGCCTTAAATTATTATATTTACTGTTTGATACCCTGTGCTAAATATAAATATAAGCTTAAAGGTTTCAAATGTTTGCTGTCAAGTTTTTGCTTTTGCAATAACTACCTTACTGCACCATGCAATGAAATCCTTTTAATCTAAGTACATAGTGGGGAAATGATCTTCAGTGAACAGAACATTCCAGGTAAGTAAAGTTCGTGTAATTGTGAAATAATGTCTTTATTCCATTTAAGCTTTATTTTCCTACTCAAAATAGCCTACTCTTAAAATAACGGGGTTTTTATGTAAGTCCTTGTACTTCTCTTTATTATTATTATCGTAGCTGAACTTCTGCTCACATTTTTGAGGAGAGTGTAAGCCAGCGGGAATTAGGACGCAGAAGAGGATGCAGGAATAGCTTTTCATCATGTGTAGAGCAGTCCTATCAGTTGCAGAACATATACCACTCCTGGTCATCATCCTAAATGCCAAGCCATTACGGCAACAAAATCTCCAATTGTGATTTCCAAAAACCCCTGAAACATTCTACTGGAAACTCCTGAACCATGAGTCAGTGTGATGATTTTCTCCTCTCAGTAAAGAGGCTGACCTCAAATGCTCACAGCAATTGAATTTAGGATATGGGAAAAAAGCAGGAAAGTTTGTGGACCTGGTCATGAAACTGAATTATAATTATAATATAACTGAATTATAAATATATAAAAATTTAAACTTCATCATCCCTTCAATTTCATCTGTAGTGCATTTTAGATTTTTTTTGTTTTTACAGGCCTATAACTATAGATACACTTCTAATTTAAAAATATTATTCTTTGCTAGTAATCCACATCAATATCTAATCTGGACTCTGTAAGATACTTTGTATTGTCTACTTCACTTTCTGACACAGTTGAAGTATTTACTTGTGTTTTTGCTTTTTACATAAAGATCCTAACAAAAATATTAATTGATAATTTTGAATAAATTTCACTCTCTTTGCCCATGTGTACCTAATCAGATGTTTTTAAATTAAGAACATTTTATTTTAAAATTTCCAAACAGTACAATGGCAATAATATAGAAGTTCCTTGGAATTTAAACTTCTGAGCTTAGGAGTCAGCATGTCTGCATGTGTCACCATATTCTTGGGGGCAGGAGTACATTTGCAGGGGTTATTGACTGATAAGAGACCTTCACAGGAGATGTCTAATATGGTGGTAGGGTTGAGGCAAGGGTCAGCACAGAGTGATGGTGTGGATGTTGTGGATCTGACGCCCAGAGAACCCAACACACCATTTCCAGTCGTAATGCCTGTCCCTCTATAGGTACAGTCGAGTGTTAAATGTTGAGTTTT